CAGTTCTGGGGACATTCACTCCGGAGTACAGGTACGGTCGGTTTCAACCGCTGTAATTGGAGTGGGAATGTCTGCCAGAACTGTCAGAAGAATAGTCCGGAATTTCTGACGAGGTAGTTCTGGGTCTTCAGTCGGTCGATCTGGCTCCATACAGCGGTTAAGGAAAACATTGTATCGTAAGTTAGTGTGGGTTCCATAATGGATCCATTTATGGAAACAAATAGATACAATGTTTTCAACCGCTGTATTGAGGAATGTCCCCCAGAACTGTCAGAAATAGTCCTATTTTTCCTTTCTTACAGTTTCTGGGACATTCACCTCCAATACAGCGGTTGAACCCATTGGTAATCTATTTGTTTCCATAAATGAGCATTCTGCAGATACACTTAGAGGACTCTGCAGATACACTTTTTTGCCGGCTTGGAATTATTCTTATTTTCATCCTACTTCTTCTTCTTCTTCTTCTTCTTTCATCCTCTTCCTTCTTCCTTTCTGAGGATGAGGATGAAGAGAAGAAGAAGAAGAAGAAGAAGTAGATGAAAATAAGAATTAATTCCAAGCCGGCAAAAAGTGTATCTGCAGAGCTCCTCTAAGTGTATCTGCAGAGTGTACTGCAGAGGAGGCTTCTGCAGATACACTTTTTGCCGGCTTGGAATTATTCTTATTTTCATCCTACTTCTTCTTCTTCTTCTTCTTCATCCTCATCCTCTTCTTCTTCTTCTGAGGATGAAGAAGAAGAAGAAGTAGGATGAAAATAAATTAATTCCAAGCCGGCAAAAAGTGTATCTGCAGAGCTCCTCTAAGTGTATCTGCAGAGCTCCTCTAAGTGTATCTGCAGAATAGAGGAACTCTGCACATACACTTTTTTGCCGGCTTGGAATTATTCTTATTTCATCCTACTTCTTCTTCTTCTTCTTCTTCATCCTCATCCTCTTCTTCGGAGGATGAGGATGAGAGAAGAAGAAGAAGAAGTAGGATGAAATAAATTAATTCCAAGCCGGCAAAAAGTGTATCTGCAGAGCTCCTCTAAGTGTATCTGCAGAGCTCCTCTAAGTGTATCTGCAGAATAGAGGAACTCTGCACATACACTTTTTGCCGGCTTGGAATTATTCTTATTTTATCCTACTTTCTTCTTCTTCTTCTTCTTCATTCATCCTCATCCTCAGAAGAAGAAGAAAATGAGGATGAGGATGAAGAAGAAGAAGAAAGAAGTAGGATGAAAATAAGAATTAATTCCAAGCCGGCAAAAAGTGTATCTGCAGAGCTCCTCTAAGTGTATCTAGAGGATCTGCAGAATAGAGGAGCTCTGCACAGATACACTTTTTGCCGGCTTGGAATTATTCTTATTTTCATCCTTTCTGACAGTTCTCTGACAGCTTCTTCACATGTACAGCGGTTTGAAACATCTGTATCCTAAATGGAAACTAATAGATACAATGTTTCAACCGCTGTACATGTGTTCCTTCTGTCAGAGAACTGTCAGAAATAGCGGAGCTCTCTGCAGGGACACTTTTGCCGGCTGATCGGGAAAAATCCGATTCGCGCACCCGAAGTAGGCAAATATTCGGATTCGCCGCGAATCGAATTTTTCCTGAAATTCGTATCGAATTCCGGTTCGCCTGGTTCGATTCGCTCATCTCTAATCACAATTATGACAAATCACGGCTTGAACTATCTTGCTTTGCATGTAATGAGTCTATCTCATATATTAGTTTCACCTTTTAAGTTGCATTACTGAAATAAATTAACTTTTGCACAATATTATAATTTTTCGAGTTTCACCTGTATATAGCTGATCTGCTGTACCGAATCAGAGGTCTGATGCAATCTTCTCTCCCTGGAGCACATTCTGTTCAAGAGAACAAAGCAGATCAATGTGAGTAAAAACAGCACACTTTCACTGTAAAAGCACAGCTAGATCATATTTAACCTCCTGATCGCCCCCCCAGTTAACCCCTTCACTGCCCTGTTACCAGTGTCATTATTACAGTGTCCAGTTTTTTTTTCTGATCACTGTATTAGTGTCATGGGCGACTTCAGATAGCATTAGGGTCAGTTAGTGTCCCTCCCAGAGAGTGTCACCACTACATCAGTCATCACATGTAACCCTTTGTTTGCCAGGAACATGCTCACATACACGATAAAACCTTCATTGCTAGTATAGTGTCCGAACGGATCAATAACTTTGATCAGATCAGGACTATACCAGCATTCACATTAGTATAGTGTCCCCAAAAATGCAGCGGTAGCAGGATCAGCCCCCAACACCTGCCACCACCTGCATTTAGCCTCTACGCTTAGCCCCCTTCTCCCCCAGCTGCAGTATCACTTGGTGATGTGGCGAGTCCCATAAGTGCAGTACAAGCTGGTGCGGTGGCGAGCACACAAGAAGTGTCCCGCAGCCAGCAAGAATTTGAAAACAGGCTGGTCGAGCCCTTGGTGTCCTTTCGGATGTGCTTGCAAATTCTGATTGGGAGCCCATAAATTCAGCATCACCCGTACTTTCCCCATTCACTGCCCAACCCGGAATTCAGGTGGAAACAGCAAATTTAACTACTCCCCTTGATTTTTTGGAGCTGTTTTTTTTTCACAGAAGAACTGTATGGATTGATTGTGGATCAAAGCAATTTATGTGCATAAAAATGTATTGCCCCCAACCCAGATTCAAACCTTGCCAGACCATTTGCATGGAAACCCATTACTGTTTCCGAATTTTTTTCCGAAAGTTTTCCAAAAGTTTTTTTTTTTTTTTGGGCTTAACCCTCAATATGGGAATTACTAAAAAGAATGAGTTGTGGTTGTATTGGTTCACAGACCTGATTCATCATATGCCCGTGTTCTCTGCTGCCATGGCCAGGCATAGATATGAGAATATAATGAGATTTATGCATTTCAAGGACAATACACTCTGTCGTCCTCGGGGTGACCCTGAATATGATAGGCTCCACAAAATTCAGCCCCTCGTTAATCACCTTAACCAGAAATTTGCAGATGTGTATTCTCCCCAGCAAAACATCTGCGTTGATGAGTCCCTTATTAATTTTGGCCTCCTTGCATTCAAACAATTTCTCCCCAGCAAGTGTGGCAGATATGTGTAAGACCTGTGAGAGGGCAACAGACTATACATGTAATTTACCAATTTACGAGGGAAAAGATAGTCATGTGGAGCACCATGGATGCCCAGACTACATGGGAAGCAGTGGCAAGATAGTTTGGGACTTGGTGTCACCCTTTTTCCACATGGGGTACAACTTATACGGGGACAATTTTTATTCAAGCGTGCCACTATTTAGACATTTGTACATTCTTGGAATTGGCACATGTGGCGCCGTGTGACCTAATTGCTGGGGTTTCCCCCAATGGCTTGTAAATACCCAACTTAGAAAGGGGGAGAAAGCCTGCTTGAAAAATAATGAATTGCTCACAGTGAAGTGGAAGGACAAGCGGGATGATTTCGTCCTATCTTCTATTCACACAGACACGACCATCCATCCAGCTGGTGTTGTTGAGAAGCCCTTCTGTGTCCCCGACTATAACCTTAACATGGGAGGGGTGGACTTCAACGACCAGATGATGAAGCCATTCTTAGTATCCCATAAAGCCAAACGCTGGTACAAAAAGGTGTTTATTTCAGTTGGCTCTGTACAATGCTTTTGTGCTTTACAAATCAACTGGACAAAGTGGATGCATGTGAGTATTGCCATGAACGTCATTTTGAGGGCAGTAATTCTAGCACTAGAACTCCTGTGTAAATCTAAATTGGTAGCATGTAAAGGCTTTTAAAGCGTCACCTATGGTAAAACATTGTATGTAGTTTGTGGCCGCTGCACGGGGCATGCGCAGTTTTAAAGCATCTCATGTTTGGTATCTATTTACTTGGCATAAAATCTTATTTTATACTTTACCAAACAGTTGGCCAGTAAATTGTGTTTTTGTGCATTAAAATTCACAAAAGTATATTTTCTTCAAAAAATTAACTATTGAAAAATCACTGAACAAGTACTGTGTGACTTAAAGAATTGCAACAACAATCATTTTATTCTCTAGGGCGTCTGCTTTGAAAAAATATATGTAATGTTTGGGGTCTCAAAGTAATTTTCAAGCTTCTAATGCTGGACATAAAATGCCAATATTACACCCCCCACCCAAATGACCCCTTTTTGGAAAGTAAATACCCCAAACTGAGAGGCATGTTGCGTCAATAGAAGAATTTATTTTTTGCCACAAATTTTTGGAAAATGACAAAAAATGTTTTGTTTTGTTTTATTTTTTAACACAAAGTTGTCATTTAAATGATATAGTGCTAACACATGCCATAGGTATATTTGGAATTACACCCCAAAATACATTCTGCTACTTCTCCCGAGCATGGGGATATCATGAGGGACTTTTTGGCAGTCTAGCCGGCTACAGGAATCCAAAACATCCAATAAGCTCCTTCAGGCTTTTAAAGGGATTTATTTCCACATTACACTTCCTGACTACCTGTCACAGTTCCGGAGGCCCTGAAATGTCATAACCCCCCCAAATGACCCATTTATGGAAAGTAGACACCTCAAGGAATTTGATAATGCTCTTTAGACTCCACCGCTTCCTATTAGAGCTCCGCCCACTGACAACAACGGTGGGGCGCTATTCCTCCCACTGACAACAATGGTGGGGCACTATTCCTCCCACTGACACCAACCATGGGGCACTATTCCTCCCACTGACAACAACAGTGGGGCACTATTCCTCCCACTAACACCAAATATGGGGCACTGTTCCTCCCACTGACACCAACAGTGGGGCACTATTCCTCCCACTGACACCAATGATGGGGCACTATTCCTCCCACTCACAATGGTGGAGCACTATTCCTTCCTATGACACCAATATTTATTGGGCACTATTCCTCCCACTAACACCAAATATGGGGCACTGTTCCTCCCACTGACACCAACGATGGGACACTATTCCTCCCACTGACACCAATGATGGGGCACTATTCCTCCCACTGACAACGGTGGAGCACTATTCCTTCCTATGATACCAATTATTGGGCACTATTCCTCCCACACTGACACCAATGATGGGGCACTGTTCCTCCCGCTGACACCAACAATGGTGCCCCATCATTAGTGTCAGTGTAGGAGGAATAGTGCCCTATCATTAGTGTCAGTGGGAGGAATAGTGCCACATCATTGGTGTCATTGGGAGGAATAGTGCCCCATCATTAATGTCAGTGGAGGAATAGTACCTCATCAGTGGTGTCAGTGGGAGGAATAGTGCCCCATCATTTGTGTCAGTGGGAGGAATAGTGCCCCAACATTGGTGTCAGTGGGAGGAATAGTGCCCCAACATTGGTGTCTGTGGGAGGAATAGTGCCCCAACATTGGTGTCAGTGGGAGGAATAGTGCCTCATCATTAGTGTCAGTGGGAGGAAAAGTGACCCCTCATTGGTGTCAGTGACACCAATGATGGGGCACTGTTCCTCCCACTGACACCAAATGATACTTACCTTGCTGACCCCTGCTCCAGCCCAGGCTCCCTCTCTCTCCCATCCACAGCCAGCATACCCGGCTGCAGCAGCACCATCTGCTCTGCCCAGATCTTGGCCACACTTACCTTACCTATCAGGTGTCTTCCTTCTCTGTCTGGTCTCCTCTTTACCGGCTCCGAATGGTCCCTCACTCAATCTTCTTTGATGTTCGTGCTGCTGCTCGGCTCCTCCTCTCTACCTCATCGCTGGTGATTGGCCGCCTGTGTGCCTTTCCTGAGCTACAGATCCGGCGGCCAATCACCGGCAAGGAGGTGGAGCTTACAGAGGGACAGGCTTCCATAGGCTGCCCAGTGATCCGGGGGTTTGGCCAGATGGGAGGGGCGGCATTTCATCCCACTCACATCACGATCAAGATCCAGGAGGACGAAGTCACCGGACAGACACCCTCTGCATCCCTCCTCCAGCAGCACCTCGTGGACCGGATCAAATTAGGCACAAAGTTGCTGACAGAGGTAAGACACAGCAGTCCCTGTCCCTTTCCCATGGAAGTGTCTCTTCTGTGGGAAGGGGGGGGCGGCTCCGCCACCTCACCGCCCCTTAAAAAGTGCTGTCCTAGATAAACATCTTCTTTGCCTCGCAGCAAATACACCCCTGAGCGCAGCACCGTATAGCAAAAAATGGCGTAAATTCCAGTATATATGCCATAGTTTGTATACGCTATAACTTTCACATAAACCAATTAATATGCAGTTATTGTAATTTTTTACCAAAGACATGTTGCAAAATACCCCGGACACTACTAAACAACTCGTACACTCCCTCATTATCTCACGCCTGGACTACTGCAACTCCCTTCTCACTGGCCTACCCAAACAAATGCTATCCCCACTCCAGTCTATCCTAAACTCAGCGGCTAGACTCATCCACCTCACCAACCGCTCCACATCTGCCACCCCCCTCTGCCAATCCCTTCACTGGCTCCCGATTGCCCAACGCATTAAATTCAAATTACTAACTCTGACATACAAAGCCATTCAGAATGCTGCCCCAAACTACCTTACCTGTAATGGATTATGGTAAATCCATGGTTTATCAGATGATCAGTAAAATGACAATTTTATAGCTTTGCTTCTCTTTGCCTTTTCCTCTTCAAATTCCTTACTCTCTTAAGTAAACAATCAAATATAGGTTAACAGAACAATGATAATTAAGATGGCGCCTTCATCCGGAGTCTCGCCCTAGGTGACTCATTAGAAGAAATAGCACCTTTCAACGTAAACAACCCCCATACCAGGGAATGAGTCTTATTGGTGACAATGATTGGAAGATATCAATGCGGATGAAAGAACACACAGGAAACATAGGGGACTTTTCATCCAATCATCACATATGCTTCGCTTACGTCGTGAGACCTATAAATGCTATGTTTAGTTCCTCAATAAAGTAGAAATTGGGAAGTTGGCAAACTACACACAGTGTCAGTGTTTTACATCCACGTGCACGCATTTCTACTTAATTAGGCTCACTGATACCCAAATACCACCCTACCCATGCCCTTCGCTTCTCACAGGACCTCCTACTCTCTAGCTCCCTGGTCTCCTCCTCCCATGCCCGACTGCGGGACTTCTCCAGGACTTCCCCCATCCTCTGGAACTCCCTACCCCAATCCATCAGACTGTCCCCTACCCTCCTCACCTTCAGGCGCACCCTGAAAACCCATCTCTTCAGGGAAGCCTACCCCACCCTCACCTAACAACCGATCTCCACTCCTCCTACCACTCCATCCCCCACAGCCACTTCCTCCTGTACCACTATCCCCTCCCTCCTAGATTGCAAGCTCGAAAGAGCAGGGCCCTCGAACCCCTTGTGTATTGTATTGTACTGTATTGTCTCATGTTCTGTCCCCCCACGCTAATGTACAGCACTGAGCACCCTTTGGCGCTATATAAACACTGTATAATAATAATAATAATAATAAAAATACATTCTGGGCTAAATTTATGATGAAATTTGAGTTTATTGGATATTTTTTATAACAGAAATTAGAAAATATATTTTTTTAAAATTTTCTTTGTCTTTTTTGTTTATAGCGCAAAACCCCCCAAAATGATGATCAAATACCACCAAAAGAAAGCTCTATTTGTGGGAAAAAAGGACACAAATTGTGTTTGGATACAGAGCTGCATGCCCGTGTGATTACCAGTTGAAACAGTGCAGAGGGCAAGTGGTTAAAGTGGTACTAAACCCAAGACCCTCCATTCACTATATCTGGTCTTCCACATTACACAAACATGGAAGTGTGACTATTTTAGTAAATATAAAACTGCTAAACACCTTTTCTCATCAGCAGTATATAGTAATGGTTGATGGGGAAGGAATGGAAGCATCAGACACATTTCTGATGTTGGAATTAGTGTTTCTTGTTTTTTGAAGTAGCTACAGAGGTGGTAATCTCTCTCCTCATGTACAACTTTCCTTTACATTTACCAAACACCATATAATATGAGGTCAAAGATAAACAACACCTTTAATTTGTAGCCAATCAGGCAGTTGATTGCATTACATAGTTGAAGGTAAATCTAAAAACAACTGAACAAGAAAATGGTACAATGTAGGGCCAGCCTAAGCTTTATGGGTATAGCAAAGTGACTCACTGAAGACCTGTGGCTTATCACTGATGAAATAACTCAATAAATTTAGTCTTTAGAGATACAGTTTTCATTTAGTAACAGGAAAGGAAATATCAGTTTGGAGAATGTTGTGGTCTGATCAAATGCAGGGATCAATATGGAAATCTGACGGGCTAGTACACAACAAGGAACTTAGAAGGAAATAATCAATCCATGAGGAAGAATTAGGCACTGAAGAATGGAAAGTATAAGACTGAGCTTGCAAATGTACCTGCCTCCAGCAGTTATCTGAGTCCACCAATCTCAATTGTTGCCTTATTGAGGGCCATGGATTTTTGAATAAATTCTGGTGTTGAGGAAGAGTCCAGCCCAGGTTTGGGTGCATGAAAAAATTAAAAATCCCCTGACCACCACTAGACGTTTTTTGATTCTGTTACTTCTCTAGTTGAGAAAGAATATTAGTTAAAACAACTTAGTTAGTATTAGGCAAGTATTCATTTATCTATAGAACTGGAAGATCCCAGAGGGCCTTCAAGAAGTAAAAAATGTACTATCAGAGTCCCTCATCACCTCTGTAATTTATATGATATAGTATTCCTAGGGAGTAGAGAGGGAGTTGAGCACCAAAGTTCGCACCAAACTTTGGCTCTTTGGAGATTTGGTGGGAACTGATCTGCTGAACATCCCATAGTGCATTGCAAACAACTGTCATTGGCCTGACATTGACCTGGTCAGGTGCAAGACTTTGGCTAATGATGGTTTTGTCCAAAGTTGTAGCCTACATACTATACAAGGATGCAAACCCAGCAGCCCTTTGTCAGTGTGTGGGAGTTTAGTGTGAGGGACAGCTGACAGTATTTCAGTGAGAGGGAGTTGGCTGTGCACTTTGGAGAATCGAGTAGAAACCCACCTCTTTGTGTCAGCAACAAATTCTATTGCTGTGGTGCTGCTGTTAACCCTTTTTTATTTTTCTTTGGGAGTGCTTGTTTTTATTCCTTTATTTGTATTTTAAATTTCCTTTTTTTTCTGCATTATAAACGAGTTTAGTGCTTTTAGTGTTTTAGGGCTGCAGTTTTTTTTCTTTTACTTTAGTTTACTTTTTACTTCTTTTGTCTTACAGCTCTATTATATTTGTATTTAATTTTGCTAGGGTCTTTTATGGGAGCAGCAGCAGCAAAGCTTCCCGTTGTATCCAGCGGAGCACCACATATTGTTATGGTGCAGATTAGTCCTCAACTGTACCAGCTTCCAGGGCACTTAAGCACCTTATCCTCACATGCTGAGAGATCTACTCTTGCCATAGCTGCTAATTAAAGAAGGGAATAAGCCCCATGTTTACAAAATCATGTGTTGGTTGCTCATAGGGTGAGGCATCTTCTGTACAGCTATAAATGGGTGAGTAGCATCCATATCCACAGACCAAGGCAGTGCTCAGGGTACAGCATCTGGAGGTAAGTCACATGTGCCTTTTTTTTGCAGTGCTCTGCTTTATATAGAGGAGGTGGTGGAGTGGCTAAGCAAGCCTTTATCCTCCTCCTCCTCCTCTGTCTCCCAGGCGCAGAGTAGCTGGAAGTCATCAGCAGCTGCCAAAGCACCCTGTTCTGCATCCTCAGCTACTCCTGCCATTACCCCACCACCTGTCACACAGGAGATAGCTGAATTATTAGATCACAGTAGCAGCCACTATATGCAAGAAAATGCACAGCTGTTAATTGCATCTGAGGGTGTGGAGCAGATCAGTGGCAGCATAGAGGGAGGTGACAACAGGCAGAAAGAGCAACTGGCACAGATTTCTATTCAGCTTCAGCCTACTGCCGGGTTGGCTCCAGTGATGAGGATGGGGGTTATAATGGAATCTTGGGTGCCAGATATGGCAGAGGAGGTGCTGTGAGGGGGTTATTTGAGGGTGGAAGAGGATGTTGGGAGAGGGGAAGAGTTTGTGCTGGGAGGAGGAATTTGGGGTGAAGAGAGGATTTGTGCTAGGTTGGGGGGGG